TCTCTGGCTAAATCATACAACTTTTCAGAAGTTAAAGCCTGAAAAAGATGGTAAGACAGATGGTATTTACTAAACTAACTGTTCTAACCTTTTCAAACATGCTGACTCTTGCAAACAACATATTTGCCTCTGTTCTGCCACCAGTTTATGTACACATACATGGAAGAAATGAGATTGTATACGAGGCTGAGGTTTTGGTTTGGTAAACAGGAAAACAGGTTGTCCAAAAAGGACTATTGTGGTTTTAAACGCAGCTAGAAATTAAGCACTGCACAACTCAACCCTCCTTCTCTCCCTCCTTGCCCTGGTGAAATGGGGAGCAGAATCAAAGGCAAACATGTATATTGAGATAAGAACAGTTTAATAATTGAAAGTAAAGTGAAATACAGTGATAATGGTAAATAAATAAATAGTAATAATAATAATAATAGTAACAACAGCAATAATAACAATAATAGTAACTGAAAAACAAGTGATGCACAATACCATCACCACCTGCTGACCGATGCCAGAGCCCCTTCCTGAACCCAGACTGCCCCTCACAGATAACTCTCCCAGTTTACAGACTGGATGTGACATCCCATGGGCTGCAATATCCCTTTGGCCAGTTTGGGTCACCTGTCTCAGCTATGCTCCCTCCCAGTTTCTTTTGTGAACCCCCTCAGTGGCAGAGCAGGAGACAAGGAAAAAAAGTCCTTGACTTAGGATAAGTACAACTTAGCAAAAACTGATTTATCAACACCATTCTCATTCTGAACCCAAAACACAACACTGCAACAGCTACTGAGAAGAAATTAACTCCATCCCAGCTGAATCCAGGACAAGGATCTTTCTGAGCAAAAATTCTGTGTTCCTGCCCAGCCCCAAATATGAGGAAATGTAAGTCTTCCTCAAAAATACTAGTTTTTTCCAAATTAATAACGATTAATAACAAATCAAATTAAGTACCATTTTATGCTGATTAGAAGTTACTTCTTTATCTGCAGTAGAACGAACGTAAGCATCTCTCTTCTGCTGGAGCTTTTCCAGGTAAGACTTTCATGTGGCTGACTGCAAATTGGAATTCGCTACCTAAAGCAGAAGCAAACACCAGAGAAGTAAAGTCCCCATCCACAGGAGTTTCAGAGGCTCCACTTTCAAACCATTAGAACCACTGATAAAAACTGGTTAAAAATCCCTGGTACTCAGAGGAGAAGCTGAAAACAGTAATTCACAAAAGCAATGCTTCACGTTGTTTGCTGCACCACACAAAAATGCTGGTGAGTTCAGATGTATACACTCAATGTGCTGCAAGGCCATAGCGTGCCAGCACAGTGTCAGCACTATTAAAAATAAGCTTTTCAGCAGATAGTGACAGAGAAGAAGTTTTAAATCAACATAAAAATAATGTAATATTTGTCCACTATGAATTCAGCCAAAATGTGGTTAAAGGTATAAAAAAGAAAATTATTATAACGAATTTAAGCAAAGTTCTGATGTTTCTGTTTGTACCTCTGATTTGATTTGCTGTCGTAACCTCCTCAAAGATTGATGGACCTTCCTCATAAAGGCTCGACTCAGAGAGAGAGAAGCAAACCTTTTTTGAGACTGCTTGAACAGTTCTGTAGCCTTTAAGAATGTCAGAAACAAAAGACAGAACAAGATAATTTTTCACTTTTTAAAACTGAAGTGATAGACCTTGCCATTTTTACTAATTTTTTCCATCATGTAATTGCCAAACAGAACAGATTTACAGTTCTAATCTGAAAGCAGGCTGACTGCAAATCCCATCAAATATGTCAACAGAAAACATAATTTGAAATAATGTAATTCTGCATACCTGCTCCAAGCAGCTCGATTTTATTTGCTCCACATCTGTTTTGATTGAACTTTCAAAGGAGTCAATTTCTTTACTTTCTTTCTGAAGACACTTGCTGAAAAACTTTACCTCCTCAGAAGAAAAGTTACCGACCTCTGAAAATAATCTGAAAGCAAACATAAAAACAATTGGCTGTGAGTCATCTTTTTCCCCAAGACTGTTTCAGCTCAACAGCCCTGAAACATATATATCAACACAAATGTGATGAAAACAGCATAATAATTGTGGTTTAACAAGATGCATTTATTTTTTTAAATGGGAAACTAGATGAATAACAAAATAAAATTTACTTTTACTCTTCTGCCTATGCAACAAACGCTGATTCCCAGAACTCAGTCACCATTTATAAACAACACTTCTATGAAATCTATATACCTGCAACTTTTGAGAAAATCCACATTTGAATCCCTTAATTTTCCTAATGCTTCCTCCAAGTGCTGCTGGTAACTTCTCACAGTAACCCTGATTGACTCCAGGTGGTTCTGGAGCTCTGATTCCAGATTGTTGCTGGAAGAAGCTGACCTAACAGCAAATAATAAAAGATAAGGAAAGATGTCTGAAAAGGAACACAACACAATGATTCAACAACTGCTGGCTGTAAAGACATGAGCAAATCTGAGGACTCAGAAGTGATTTATGACTCTCAAAGCAGCTCCCCAAGTTGGGATGGTTTGGATGAACCCATGGAAGGTATCAGCAACAGCTGATACTATTGCATCTTTTTCTTCAAAAACAATTAGTCAGCTGCTCTTACAGTGCATGTTCAGTAAACTGGATAAAATCTAAACCAATGAAACATCTTTTCTACTTAAAGACTGTCAGATGAAAATTTCCAGGTGTTCAGTCCTGATTTTAATTTCTTCAGGGCAAGAGAATGAAATTCTTTACATGTTTTCAAGTTTTATCAAGTAGTCTTCATTGAAGAGCACTAACATATGAAAGAACAGGTTCAGAATGCAAACCATAAACACCTCAGACAGAAATCAGGAGTATTTAACTAGGGAGATTCACAGCAACAGCAGTGGCACACTTACTGCTCAGTCACAGGAGCGTGGAGCAACTCAAACTCCAAGTGACTGACTCGGGAATTGAAGTGTGTGTTGAGGTTATTTAGCTGGTCTGAAAATCTGAGGAATTCAGCTCTCTCCTTTTCCAGGCCTTCTGCCAGTACTGCACAGTGGCGCTCAAGATGCTCTTTGTGAAGTGACAGTTCCTCTGAGAAGAAAGGAACTTTACAACAGGAACATTATTCCCTGTTTACTGTGAACTATCACTATGCCCAGTCAACCTGTGACCAGCAGCAGCAGCAGCAAAATAAAACAAAGCCATACCTCATAGTAGCTGAAATATACAAATTAAATACATTCAATTTGGTTTCTTTGACTTTTCTCCTGTGTAAGACACAGATCCTTAACAGCTCCTAATCCATTCAAACCACATGTGTCTCTTGTCTGCTCCAAGCATTCTTTTTCCTTTATTTTTGGTCATTGCTGACATCTCCATTTATCTCTCTGTTCTCAGTCTCGTAACAAAACCAATGGCCATATTTTTTAATGGAAAATCATCCACTTTTCCTAGTTTTGTGAGGGAAGGAAAAAAATCAGTTTTGGTCTCTCTTCCAGAATGATAGCTGGATAAATCAAGAGCCAGGCAACCACCTGAAGAAAGCTGCCAGAAGAAGCACCTGTCCTCTTTGCAGAAAAAGGGAAATTGAAAAATTATTTGCCTGCTCTCCAAAAGCAGAATTTTTTTGCTTATGTGTTAAAGACCAAGAAACCTGTCTAAAATCCCTTTTTCTCACCATAAAAACTTGACACTTCCTATGCAAAAGGAGTTTTAATTAGACGATGCTCTGTAGCTGCTCAATGATATTTCACAGTGTTAAATCCTCCCTCTCATATTTTCAGAAGCTTGGCCCTGACATTTTGGCTCTCCCAACTTGCTAATTTCTTTTCCTGCAATACTTTTAAAATATTTTTTGTACAGCACAGAGTCTTGTTAAATAATTTCAAGGTGGATGAGAATTCACAAACATTGACAATAGAATGTTCAGTATCTTCTGCAATCCAGTTGTTAATCAAGGCACTACTGTCTATTTTTCCAAAAATAACACAGCACAAACCAGGAAGAGCTATAGAAAAGAAATATCATTTTAAAAATATGTAAGTAACATAATATACTGGGAATTCTTGACAGCCAACTGCTTTCTATTGTCTTCTACTACTAAGTCAACTAGTGCTGAAACAGATTTTGGCCCACTTAGGACCATCATGTTAGGAACACATGCGATGCTCAGAATACAAAAAAAAAGTCAATACCAGCTCGAACATTGTAGATTTTTGTCTGTATATCCTCCTGCTTTCCTTGATGCAACTTAAGATGCAGCAGAAGTTTTGAATTCAGCTCCTCTTTCTTGGCAGCTACAAAGACATAGGAGTTTGACAAGGATTCTGCAAACCATTTCTCCAAGTGCTCAAAAAAGCAGAGGCGAATCCTATGATTGAAAAAGAAGTATTATGGTGAGGAACAGCAAATAATAAGTAAGAATTTATTAAATACATAATTTCTAAGAATTTAACTTCTGGCTATAGGAAGGTATGGTTTCAGTACCATTTGCATAATACTGGTAGAATTTTTGAGCTAGCTGCATACTACTGAGTACCAGGCATTTTACCTTCAAGGCCTTGCAGGGAATTTGGGCAAATTACTTGTCTGACTAAATAATTTTCCATAAATGATGAATATTCTGTAAAGGTAAATGTTTTTATGGTACTTTGACAGCCATGGATACAAAGCAATATAAACATTTTCTCGTATTTGTATGAATTTCAAAAGTGGAATAATGTAATAACTGTACAATCAATTTTATAAATAAATAGCTAACTATATAAATATCTAATTATACAACACTAATTAGATAACTTTTCCTCTGTAGTCTTATGTTTCTTCTAAGCAGCTGCAATTTGTGTGTTACATAAAGGGAAAGAACAGAATTTGTTTTCTACTTACCTTTCCTTCAGCTTGACAAACATGGCTTCTGTGAGAAGTACATATTTCAGATACATAGGAAGGGATTCTTCTTTTTCAAAACTTGTAAGGTAACTCTCTGTGATGTCAGTCTTTCCTGCCTCTTCAACTCCAAGAACAGTATAAGTGTTTCCACTAGCAGTGGAGAAAATCTCCGTGGCAATTTCAGCACTTTCTGCCTCGCTGCTCTTGGATGCTGACTGGGAAACAGTGGGAAATTATCACGTTACTTTTAAAGGTATCAGCATAGAATTAACAGCGCACCAGCTAGTCTAGGAATCCTAAGGATATTTAGAATAATGTTCTCATTCTTAATTTGGACATTTACACAGTACTGGCAATATATATATATTGATATATTGCTATATTGATATATTGCTATATTGATATATTGATATATTGATATATAAATATAAATATATATTTATATATTTGTATATTTATATATATGCCAGCAAGACATAGGCAGAGTCAACAATGTTTGAAAACGTTTTTGTTATGGTAATAAATTCATGGAAACTGTAAAACTAATATGTAGGTACAAATACTTAGCTTAAATCATTCACTACAGGCTGAGAACACTGTGATGAAAGAGATTAGAAAAAAAAAATATGAAAAATATCAAAAAGAATGGTTGTGAACTGTTTTATACACTCCATTTTCCCATAAAAGGATCTAGAGCCCTGGGTACTTTGTATACAAACTAAGCAAAAAAGGACTTTCTATTCATTCTCAGCAAAAAGACTTCCTATTCCTCCTTATTTTGGTCAAGACTGCCTTCACTTTCAAATGTATTCTCTTGCTCACTTACCTGCATAATGCTTAGTCCCTGTTCTGCATGCTCATTTTCTTCACTTTTATGAGGAACACTCTCCTCATCTTCTTCTTCCTCTGTTTCTGCAATTTCCTGTGCCAAGATCACCTGTTTCTCCATTAAGTTTGTTTCCCCAGCTGATTTTTGACAACTGTCCCTATCTTCTGGCACCAGTTGAGAGAGGCCATTGTCCTGCTCTGCTCTGGGCTGGGATGTCCTTGCTTCGAGCCCTGGGGGTAATTTTGGATGCCACAATGTTAGAAAGACCTAAAGCTGCTAGAGAAGTCCAAAGGAGGGACACAGAGATAGTGAAGGCTCTGGAGTGGAAACCATACAAGTGGCTGAGGGCATTTGGCTCAGCTGGAGAGAGGAGACTGAGGTCACACCTCACTGGGGGCTGCAGCTCCTCTCGAAGGCAGTAGAGGGGCAACTTTAATTTCTGCTCTGTGTGACCAGGGACAGGACCCAAGGGAATGCCTGGAGCTGTGCCAGGGGAGGATTAGACTAGGTACTAGGAAAAGGTTCTTCCCTCAGTGGGTGGTAGGCACTGAACAGGCTGCCCAGGGAATGGGCACAGCCCCAAGGCTGCCAGAGCTCCAGAAACATTTGGACAATGCTCTCAGGGATGCACACGTTGGGATTGTTGGGATGTCAGTGCAAAGCCAAGAGCTGGACTTTCATGATCCCTGTAATTCCCTTCCAACTCAGGATACTCTGATTTTCCTCTCCTTGCACAATGCTCTCAGCTTGCTGCTCCACTGTTTGTTCAGCTTCTGAAGCCTCAACTAGTTACTTACAATTAAAGCAGAGTTCTACTGGTTACAGTCCAAAGAAATAGAAATTGAAAAACAAGTAAGCAGAAATACCTGTTTGGACTGTTGAGGTATTATTTTGATCTTGAACTGTGGAGTCTATCGTGCCTTGCAAGTTCTAAAACCAAAACAACAACAAAAAATACCTGCCACACTGTTTTAAAATATGGATTTGCTTCTAAGAAACCCATATTCCTTCTCAAAATGTTTCAATTTCAGTAAGATATG